ATGATGTAATCGCATATTTTGAAAAAAAAAAGCTTTTGTTTGTAAATGATAAAGCTAATACAAAATCTATTATAGTATATTTATGAATTTGATTAGTGTGTGTGTCAGATATAAATAGTAGTAGAATAGTTTAGCCAGAAATTTTATGAGTAGAATCAATAAAAATTTAATTTTAATAGATTTGTTTTACCTATTAGTTTTAAGTTTTTTCACATCCACAATTTATAGTGAAATAAACTTTTAATAAGTGATAATTTGATAAATATTTTAAATAGTGGTAAAAAATAGTTATCCAATATTTTTTATGGAGTTGTTGTAATATAACTGAAAATTTAGTTTCAGTAGATTTTTTTGTTTACTAGTTCTAGTTTCAAGTGTTAAACACATCCAAATATGTATATGTATATATATTGAAAATTTGATAAATATTTTGAGTGATTAAAGACAGTGATATCTCGTTAGTCATAATGTGGAAAATTGTAATGCCATTCATCATCAAATTTTGAATGATATATATGAGTATGAGGAATAAGATTTGTATGCGTTTACGGGGTTTACGGGGAAAATGATCAATTTCGATCTGAATTTTGTTCGTGGTGTCTTTTTAGATTTGGATTTTTACATGTGGCTTATTTCAATTTGGAGTAAAAAATAATTGAGAAATTTCAAAAAATGTCATTTTTCAAGTGCCATTTTACAAAAATGCCACTTTTTCAAAATTATTTTTTCTTTATATTATTTATGTTTGGGTTAATTATGTTCTATTAGGGTTTAGTTATGAGGGTGGGTCAAAATATTTTTAGGGTTTAAAATTTTAAGATATAGGTTTTATAAATCTATAATTAGTGGCATTTTTGTAAATGGACACCCCTAAGTGGCATTCTTGCAAATGTGCATACAAAAAGTGGCATTTTTATAATTGTCTCCAAATAATTCAAATTTCATACCTAAACTAACATCAGATGTGCCGAAATGTACCTTGACCATTTTTCCGTAAGTCAACGTTAACGGAAAAATGATTAAGATGACATGTGGGTTAGCTGGCTCAGTTTCGTTGGTTCAAAACGATGCCATTTCATTGTTTTAGTAAAACGAAATCGTTTTTATTTAGTGGAAACTTAAAATCAAATCTTTTATTCGATAAATTTCTAAATGAAAACGACGTCATTTATCTAACAGAGTAACATACACTTATTATAAAAATAGAAATGGATGTTAGAGATATATGGCAAATTTCTAGAGCATCTCATTAAAACTTATATACATATTATATAAGCTACAATAATTTACAGCATAAAACCAAACGCAAACACAAACAACTAATCAAGATCAAAATCGCAAGCGGCTATATAGGGGAAGAGGTTGAAGTTGGTTTGTTTTGTGAATCTTAGTCTCTTATACATATCAAACTCTATTTTGTTTGTTTGGTAAACTATGAATTGATAAATGGTAAACGGTGGTTATCGAAGTTGAGCAACATGAAGTGGCATTAGTGAAAGAGCATCACGTGTCATGCGTTAGACCATTGTCTTGATCCTTGCTGCTTYTAGGTTCCACAGATCCAAACCTCCCCATATTAAACTTGAAAAGTTACACGTTTCTTCTACTTTAGACCTTAAAATAAATTTTTAAAATAAAGAAATTTCAAAAATATTATTTTTCAAGTGTTACTTTACAAAAATACCATACTTTTAAAATTTCTACAAAAGTGACACTTTTCAAATT